TTTCCAAGCCCCCTTTTCCCCCTGGACCCCTTGGTCCCAAACCAAAAGGGCCCCCCTTGTTTTGGCCGGGGCGAAAAAAAATTGCTTTTTTGGTAGCCCCCCCGGGGGTCCAAAAAAAGGTTGGCCAAAAATTGGGGGTTGCCCCCGATCCCCCCCGTTTTGTTTTCCCCCGGGGGATTTCCCCGATTGGGGGGGGGGGGGGAAAAAATTTTTTCCCTTTTAAAATTCCCCCCCAAAAGGGGCGGGGGCAAAAAAAAAAGTTCCCCCCCTTTGAACCTTTTTTTGGTCCCTTTTCAAAATGGAAAATGGGAAAAAGGGGGTTCCAAGGTGTTTCCTTGAACCTTTTTCCCCCCCCCCCCCCCCCCCCCCCCCCGTGCGAACCTGCTGCCCCGACCTTGGAGATGAAATTGTAAATCACAATCTTCGTCGAGACTAAGCACAATTCACTCCACACCCACTGTGTTGGCCACACCTTTTCCTTAGTCATGCAACGGAAAATGAAATTTTGCACACAAGTCACTACGAGTGAGGACAAAAGCTTTTAGGAATCAATGCAAGTGTGCGTGTGCGTACCGCTTCTCTTTTTATCTCACCTGTTGTGGGAGGGCCCAGATCATTGGGTTCACGTCTATCTTCTGGGAACCCCGACATCCGGACTGACGAACAAAGGATGATGACTGTGAAATTATTGGTCGTACCCCACAGGGATACATGCCAACGTCCCGGTCTTATTCCAACAATCAATGGCGTCAACAAAGATATCCTCAAATCAGTCTCTTCCACGCCTAATAGGTTCACCGTGTCTTGTATTTTGAGACTTCGTGGGGGATGCTTATGCTCCAATTCCTATATGAAGCACAGGACTGTAGGAGCCCCGCGGGTGCGAACCGGGATTGCGTTCGGTTACCCCCTCCTCTCTTGCGAACCTTCGCCCCATGATCACAAAACGGTTGCGTGGCACTTTAAGAGACCACTTATCCCGCTCTAGGTGTGGGTGAGACGCCCTCGCTACAGTATCAGCACACCATGTGCCTCCCACAGGCCGCTTGCTTGGGGGTAAGGTTGGCTGTTAACCCCAAGCAAATTTCCAACAACATTTTCCCCGCAACCCTGGCGTGACTGTTGTGTTTTGTTTTTATTCGACGCGGATTAGCTGATGGCTGCCCATCCATGGATTGGCGAAGAAGATATTGTTGGCGTTCCCCGAGGTCTTTTGCGCAAGAACCAACGTAACTGCACAAGTACTTGGTTGGAGTAGATGCAACAAATATTCGAGAACCCTCTCTGTGGCCAACGGAGCCACCGATGATCTTGGGGATTTTTTCGTACATGGAGCACATTGGAACTGGCAGTCGGGGGGGTTCTTCACAGCCGAGGCGTTCGGCCAATATAAGATAGTTATCCTTCAAACTTGGTATCTGTCTGTAGCGCTTGTAGTTGGTGGACGTCCAGCCAGATTTGAGAAAGGTTTGTCCCATTCGCTGGTAGATTCGATGTTTAACTTGGCCACACAGCCCCATTGTTTTTTTTTTAGGACATTTAGCTATCAAATCTGACGAAGCCAGTAACTGAGACATGTGCTTGCTACCTCTTGGGGCAAGGCTTCCCCTTTCGGTGTTGTTTTTTCTATTGCGTCTGGTGGAATATGAGGGGTGTTAAGAAACAAGAATGTGTAAAGGCCGAGCAACTGTCACGTTGGAAAGTTCATACTTTCCACATCTTCGTCTGGCTTGGAGGTTTCTGATTCGCCGAGATCCCCTCCCTTTGGCCCCTACTGTAGCGCCGCCACTGCGATGGCCTCGGGAAGCCAGACCAGGCATGTCACACTATTCCCTTGCGCTCCGGAATTACTCCGCTACCAACGCCGTGAAAACGACTCCGACATTTTTTCTCTGATCGAATTTCGTGTCTCCGTTGCGACAAATTACTTTGATCTTTCGTGCGTCCATCTTGCACCAGAGTGTGATTCTTTCGCGCGAACGCTGCGTCATTGCTTGCCCTGACCGCCCACTAACCCGACACGGTCTTCGACACTGCCTGCCCCTCCGCTCTCTTCCCCGCGCCACTGCTTCAGAGCCCCCGGTCGAAGAGAAGGGCGGCGTGCCCGAAGACGACACGCCCGCCGGCGACGACGCCGAGGCCGACGGCAACACGCCGCCGTCGGAAAAGGAACAAGAACAAGAACAAGAACAAGAACAAGAACAAGAACGCCTCTCCGAGGCCGCGACGGCACCAGCTGAAGACGATGCCGCCGCTCCCCCCACCTACGCCGAACGGTCCCCGGCACCAGCGGGAGACGATGCCGCCGCTCCTCCCGCCTCCGCCGAATCGTCCCCGGCACCAGCGGGAGACGATGCCGCCGCCCCCGATTCCGCCGCGTCCGCCGAACCGCCCGCGGCACCAGCGGAAGATGATGCCGCTCCCTCCGCCGAAGCATCTCAGTCGCCGCCACCGAGCGAGGAGGAGAAGGAAGCGGCGCCGGTCGAGGAGGCTCCGGGTACCGGAGACCTGTCGAGGACCGTGGTCGACGACAAAGAAGATGAATCCGCGGCGCCCCCGGTCGGAGACGCCGCCGCCGCCGCGGCCGGTCCCGCTGATGCGGCGGAACCGTTCAAGACAGCCGCGGGCGGGGAGGAGCCGGCACCCGTTGAGGCGGCAGCCCCGGGTGGAGACAAGACTCCGCCGGAAGGCGAGCAGCCGGCGGCGCCGGCCACGGCCGTGGCTGAAGGTACTGCCGCTGATGATGTTCCAGCCGCCACCGCCGACTCGTCTGAGTCGCCGCCGCAGCCGCCGCCGCCTGGAGAAGGCGACGGGGCGGCGGTCCCTGAGGAGGAGGCGGTTCCTGAGGAGGAGGCGGACGGCGGCACCGCCGAACAGGGCGACGCTTCTGCTGGTGCTGCCGGTGAGTTGTGTGAGGTAGTGCAGGTGGGATGTGTCTACGAGAGGGAGCCTGCGCTTGTGGTACATTCCGTTTTGTGAAGAAGCATCGGCCGGAGGTTTTCTCGCGTCCGTACGCCGGAAACGATTAGCGGGGTGCCTTTTGGACTGTGCGTTCAGCAAGTGAATTAAGTATTCAGAACGAGCACGTGTTCGAGCACGTGTTCCATTCCTCCGTCTGCAAGCTGCTCAGACTTCACCCTCCTAGCACCCAGGTCCTCCGCAAAAAGATAGTCGCAAAAAATGTTTGTCGTCAGCCATTGGTCGAGGGGCTACAGTCCCTCCAAAGAATCTGAGCTCCTTTCCAGACAAAGGGTGACTTGGCGTCAGTATTAAAAGTATCCCCAAAACACATCACACGTGGGGACACTTTTCATACTGAAGCCAAGTCAGCAAATGTTTCCAGTATTAGGAGATGTTCAGTTTTTTTAGGCTAGTGCATTGGGAGATCATGCTTCCAGTACTAGGAGATGTCCATTTTTTTTTTAGGCTAGTGCATTGGGAGATCAGGCGAAGCTTGAGTTAGAGTGGGCCGGCGTGCGTGCTTGCGTGCGTGCGCGAGCTCGGCTAGAAAAGGCCACGCGCGGTGCAGGCGCACAATAATCGAGGGTTTGTCGTCAACTAACGTGGGTAGAAAGCAGTGTTTCTGGAATTCTTTCGTACGTGTTGTAATAGGCCTATGTGCGCTGTGCACTTGAGAGGTCACCAAAAAGGAATGCCCCCTGCGTACGAGACCCAGGGTGATACCGCGTATTTATTTCGATATATGCCGGGTTTAACATAAGCCGTTCGGAAAATGGAGTTTTTTAATGGTCACAACAGACACCGCTCGGGTGCGCTCCCAAAAGTCTTTGTCTTCAGTACATTCCACAGTTGCACATGGCAAACAATTTAGGGCCTCTAGCCTAATATCATGCACCATCATCTCGTCTTGCGATGTACAGATGTGATACACGAGAACCCTGCCGCCACGACTGCTGGTGGCGTTGTCTTGGCAAAGAATTGGCAGTTCTCGCGATGTGCCCTCATCCTGAATCGTTTCCAGTACACACGACCGACGGGATCTACAGCGCACCGCTGATCCCCTCGCCGCTCACACACCCGCTCGTCAATATGCCAGCTGAAGACCCCCCCCCCCCTACCCCCCGTTCCACATTACGTTCTTCACAGAAGAGGATGCGGCGCAGGCCGTACCAAGCGAGGCCAGCACCCAGCCGTCTCCACTGGTCGTGCCCGCGGAGACCGAGCCGGCAACAGCAGGGCCAGACGCTACTGCCGACGAGCCTGCCGAGCGGTCCCTCGAGGGGCCCGCCGAAACGCCGGCTGTCGACGCCGCCTCCGAGGAAACCCCCGCCGCCGCCGCTACTACCGAGGACGGAGTCGGATCTGCCCTCGTTGTCGAAGACGCGGTCGCCGATCCGACGCCAGCTGAGAGCGATGCCCTTGCTGCCACGGACACGGCGGCTGAGTCTGCCGTCGAGGGTGGAGACGGTGACACCGAGACCGCCGCTGCGGCGGAAGTCGAACCAGAAGAAGAGGCCACCGCCGCCGTTAAGGGAGAGGAACAGCCGGCGGTTGCCGAAGACGCTGCCGGTGAGTCGGCAGTGGTGGGCGTTTGGCGGCATGCGGGGTGCTGCCGCGATTTCAGTACATTAACATCATTTATGTGTATGAAACGGCGGATAGTTCCCTCTCTCCTCCCCCAGTCACGTATTCGCTAGGTCGATTTTCGAGTGATGTCGTCGTTTGTCTTTGATTTTGGTCGTGCAAGCTTGCCGTCATTTTTTTGGCATCAATGTTTGTTTTTTTCTTGCTTTTACTAAAGATAATCCGTCGTTGTTGACAACAACGTCAAACTGTCGAAGATGTCGCCACCCTACCGAAGGGCACCTTCGTGTCTATCCACCGCCGCTCTGCGTGCCTCAGACCAAGCTGGACCAATTATCATTTATATCTCGCTGGCTGCTGCTCGAGGGACCGCAACAGTATTGGATGCGATGTTCTCACTCCGTCGCCGATGATCCCCGACTAGTTTTCACCCGGCCCGTATGCCGTCAGCAGCACATTGTCCGCCGCTAAACTGGCCTCCGCACTTGCGTTCTTTGTCTCACCCGCAGAAGAGCCGGTCGCCGTTGAGCAAGAGCCGGTCGCCGTCGAGGAAGAACCCGTCGCCGTCGCGAAAGAACCCGTAGCAGCCACGGAAGAGCCCGTCGCCGTCGCGGAAGAGCCCGTCGCCGTCGCGGAAGAGCCCGTAGCAGCCACGGAAAAGCCCGTCGCCGTCGCGGAAGAGCCCGTCGCCGTCGCGGAGGCGACCGTCGCCGTCGCGGAAGTGGCCGTCACCGTCGCGGATGAGCCCGTCGCCCTCGAAGCAGAGACTGTCGCGGAAGAGACCGTCGCCATCGCCGAAGCACCCGTCGCCGTCGCGGGAGAACCTGTCGCCGTCGCGGAAGAAACGCCTGCCGCTTCAAGCGACGGCGTCGCTGAGGGCGCGGTAGCCGAGGCTTCCGTTGCGGTGGAATCGGAGGCTGAAGCGGGTGCCAGCGTAGACAAGGAGGAGGAGGAGGAGCCGGTCGCCGCTGGCAAGGAAGAAGAAGCGATAGCCACCGACGGAGCTGCCAGTGAGTGCACGTCGCGCGATAGAGGAATTCCATAGGGAAGGCGGTGCTCAATAGGGAGGGGTGCTTTCTCCGCTCTGGTCAATTTAGCGGAAGGGGATTTAGCGGAAGGGGTCTGGCTTCGCCGGTTGTGAGCTGGGTCGGCGGTATGAAGGTTTTGCCATGCCTGCAGCGCTTTTATTATCTTTTGTGGACGTTGGAACTTCGTGAGCACAGAATCATATATTTTGCCGTTGCCTGATTTCACTCGGTGCGCCTACCTGGCTTTCGCCTTGCTGGAAACTGTTGTCCGCCCTCGCGGCTACTGCTGGTGTAGCGCATCGCGCGGTGCAGGGTTCTCCGACTCGCTGAAGACGCGTTTCTGCTTGCCTACGGGTGTGTGCACTCCAGGGGTTTTGCAATCACTGTGAACAACACCCACAAACTCATCGGTTATCGGTTCCATTCACCCTCGGTTACAGCTTGATTCGACTTGTCTCACAACAGCAGCATCTGATACTTCAATAGTCTTGTTCTCTGGCGGCTTCTTGACGAGAACGGCGGTGAGGGCAGCTGACCCGCGAGACACGATCTACGTGCTCTTTTTTCGCTTGCTTCGATCAACCCTTGAAAACATTCACTCAACCTTCGCGCGGCAACCACGGTGTTGTTTGTACTCCTCTACAACATGCAGCCCCGGCGGAGGAAGAAGAAACTACCCAAAGAAGCATCGTCCAAGAGGAGGCCCAGACCGAGGTCGTCGCCGAAGGCAAGGATGACGTCGCTGCAGCTGATGCTTCTCCCGACGAAACGCCTTCCACGGCAGAGTCCGCCGACCTGCCCACTGCCGAGCCCTTGGTAGGCGATGCCGCCGCTGTTGCTGCTAGCGCCGGTGAGTGGGTGGCCTTGCTTGTTTGTGTTGGCACCGAAAGGTGGGGTGCGGATACTAACGCGGGTGTGTTTTTGTGTCGTTGGGTTTGCCTACGGAAAGTGCGTGGCGGCGGTAGCGTTTTGTGTAGTCGGGACAGGTGGAGGAAAAACCTCAATCCTGCTCTGCGTATCCGTGAAGAAAGTTGTTGCCTCGACGACCACCGTAGCCTGCGCCAATCCCCGGGCATATGCCCGAACACTTGCTCCCGCTGATCCCCTTCGCCCGGCCCTTCCGCACCACCGCCCACGTGTTCCCTTAGGGGAGGAGCCAGCGGCAGCGGAAGAAGAGTCCGCGGCCAAGGAAGACGACCCCGAGCCAGCGGTGCCCGCTGCCGCCGAGGACGCTGCCGCCGAGGACGCTGCCGTGACCGTCGAGGAGGCGGTCATCACCCCGGACGAGACGACCGCGGAGGAGACTGCCGACGTCGACAGCACGGCCGCGGTCGAAGGAGGAGAAGAAGAAGAGGCGTCGCCGGCGCCCCCGTCCGACGGTGATCTTCCGGCGGTCGCCGACTCCGCTGAACCGACTGGTGCCGGTGAGTTGATGCGGCACGGGCATGGGTTGGTGGTGGAGCGAAGCAGAGGTGTGTTTTGTGTTGGGTTTCGAGGCCTAAAACGGTGCCATAAAATCACGACAACGTGAACTGTGCGCCTTCTCTGCACAAGGAGGCTGTTGTGCATTGATGCCGCGAGACTGTACACCCTACATAGCCCCGTGTATGCACCCACTTGCACTTGAGTTGCTTCCGCGAGCCAACCCGCCACCGATTGGACACCAGCACAGAGCACCAAGAGAGGATAAAAACGTCCCACCGTTTTTTTTCTTGTCCACGACTGGAAGTGCTTGCACACGACGTGGTGATTCGTCCACCGCAAGACGCGTGCACCATCACCGCCTTTTGTTGTACTCAACCTTCATCGCGCAAACACGAACAGACGGTAGCGGTCCCTGTGTATGGCCGCGAATACAAGGTGGTCGCCCTGTGTAAGGTCGGTGAAATCACGAGGCACGGATGGGATATTCAAGGCTGCCTCATTCTCTGAACAGTGCCGGGCGCGCGGTACAGGCCCTACCATGACCTACCAAACCCCTTGGTGTATGGCCTTATACGATACAGGGGCCGCAAGAGTACCGACATGCCTCCAGCATTTGGCCACTACAAGAGGCGCGCTCAAAACATTGCGAACAAGAGTAAGCGATCTGTCTACCTTCTCCATCACGCCCGAACTCAGGCGTTCGGCTGGCCCCCCAAGTATCCTCGGTGTTGTGTCATGAATGTTCTCAAACCATCCTCAGCAAGGAACAAACCGTCGCCTGCCCCTATGTCTCGCACTCTTCTTCTTGCACGCACCCGCAGAAGAACCCGCAGCCGTCGAGAAAGAAACGCCTGCTGCTGCTGCTGATGCTGATGCTCCCTCTAGCGATGATGTCGCTGAGGGCGCAGCGGCAGCCGATTCTGTCCCCGAAGCCGCCGCCACCGACGAAGTCCCGGCTGAGGGCGCTGCCCCGGCCGCGGAAACGCCTGCTGAGATGCCCGTCGAGGTGGAGGAGGAGGATCACACCGAGCGTGCCGTTGAGGCTGTCGAGCCTGCCGTTGAGCCTGCTGCTGAGCCTGCTGTTGAGCCTGCCGTTGAGGCTGTCGAGCCTGCGGTTGCCGCTGCGGAGCCTGCCGTTGAGCCTGCTGAGCCTGTCACCGACGCTGCTGAGCCTGCTGTCGAGCCTGTCGTTGTTGAGGCTCAAGCGGAAGTTGACGCGGGAGAGGTTGCTGAGCCTGCCGTTGAGGCTGTCGAGCCTGCCGTTGAGGCTGTCGAGCCGGCCGTTGAGCCCGCTGAGCCTGTCGCCGACGCTGCTGAGCCTGCTGTCGAGCCTGTCGTTGTTGAGGCTCAAGCGGAAGTTGACGCGGAAGAGGTTGCTGAGCCTGCCGTTGAGGCTGTCGAGCCTGCCGTTGAGGCTGTCGAACCTGCGGTTGAGGCTGTCGAGCCTGCGGTTGAGGCTGTCGAGCCTACCGTTGAGCCTGCTGAACCTGCCGTCGAGCCGGCCGAGCCGGTCGGTGAACCCGCTGAGCCTGTCGCCGACGCTGCTGAGCCTGCTGTCGAGCCTGTCGTTGTTGAGGCTCAAGCGGAAGTTGACGCGGGAGGGGTTGCTGAGCCTGCCGTTGAGGCTGTCGAGCCTGTCGTTGAGGCTGTCGAACCTGCGGTTGAGGCTGTCGAGCCTGCGGTTGAGGCTGTCGAGCCTGCCGTTGAGCCTGCTGAACCTGCCGTCGAGCCGGCCGAGCCGGTCGGTGAACCCGCTGAGCCTGTCGCCGACGCTGTTGAGCCTGCTGTCGAGCCGGTCGTTCTTGCGGCTGAAGCGGAACCTGATTCGGGAGAAGCTGCTGAGCCTGCCGTCGACGCTACTGCTGAGCCTGCCGTTGAGCCTGCTGCTGCTGAGCCTGCTACTGTCGAGCCTGCTACTGAGCCTGCCGTCGAAGCTGTCGAGCCTGCTGCTGAAGGGGAACCTAAGGCCGGAGCCGGCGGCTCAGCAGGCTCAGCAGGAGAAGAGGAGCCGGTCGCCGTCGTCGCCGCCGCCGTGGTCAAGGAAGAGGAAGAACCGGTAGTCGTCGAGGACGACGAAGTGTCTGGTGAGTTGACGTGCGCCGGCGGTGTTCCTTTGTTCAGCGTCGTTGTTGGGTGTGTGCGGATAGTGCATGCGTTGGGCGGAGGACGATGCGGTGGGCCCGCTGGCGAAGGCAGTTTTTGTAACGGGTATTGGTCTGCCCTCTGAAAGGTTTTGGGTGGTGGGTGTTGACGTTCCGGTTGTGAGCTTAGTTTTGGTGAGGAAGGTCCTGCTGTGATGTCAGCAGGATTGACATGTTGCTTGGGATTTTCTACTCGTCCGTTTGCAGAGATCATCGCACCCCGGCGGTTGTTGCGGAGTATTCACGACTGGTTCGATGAAACTACAACCCCGATAGCTATCCACGAGCTTCACTCACAGTTCGGTGGGCGGATTTGATTCCATGATATCTCATGGATCGTTCGGTCAATTTGATTTTAAACGAACACTGCAACCCCTCGGTCGTGCGCTACGAAATCCCTCCGCGTCTGCCGTCAGCAGCCCCGGCGGAAGACGCACAAACAACACACAAGAGCATCGTCGAGGGAGATACCATAACTGAAACCATTGCAGCAGACAGCGCAGACATCGACGCGCCCGCGGATGCTGATTCGACGACCGAGACGCCGCCGTCGGAGGAGCGGGATGTTTCGGAGCCCGATGATGTTGCCGCCGCTGTCGAGCCTGTCGTCGTTCCTGCCGCTGATGCCGCCGCTGGTGCCGGTGAGCGATATTGTCGCGTTTTTCACGACACGAGTTGCGCAAACACTTCCTGCATGTGCGTGCCGATTCAATGGCTTGGTGGTTGTGGATGTTCCCTATTCCCTGAGAGGATGCTATCCATTCCCTGACGCGTTCTGTACAAAGTATCTAGAATACATGTTTTTTGGTTGATAATCGAGAAGGAAGCCCCGTGTATGCTTGATGCGGGAGGGCATTCGAGCATGACCCCCCCGTTTTTCCGTGTTTCGTTCCAAACCTTTAAGTAGGATACGAGCCTACAGATACGCAACGTTGTCAAGCGCATCCAGCGAAGAACCAGAAACTAATCCCCCCGCCAAACAGATTGCTTGAAGCGGGCGCGTTGTTGCAAGCGTGGGTGTGGAAGACAACAAAGCCCAATGCCATCTGTGAAGCCGATCTGCACGCGGTCAAAATCCGAAACACGGTGCACCCACACGTGTTGTCTACGAACGTTGTGGAAAGACCTACGGCCGCACATCTCCCCCGCCCTTGACAATTGTTTGAACATGTACGACAAAGAAAACAATTCACTGCAAAAGAATGTCCGCTCGCAACATACCCCAGCCGAACAGATGTGTTGAAGTCTAGCCTTGCAATAAGTGAGTGTGGAAAGAAACCTTTTGCATACTCTGCATATTTTGAGTTTTTTGTCCCCGGTTAACCCATCGCCCACCTCTTCCACCTGCCCCCCCGGTGTTCCCGCAGCAGAGGGGCCCGCGGCAGCGGAAGAAGAGTCCGTGGCCAAGGAAGACAACCCCGAGCCAGCGGTCCCCGCTGCTGCTGAGGACGCTGCCGTATCCGTGGAGGAGGCCGTGACCACCCCCGACGAGACGGCCACGGAGGAGACTGCCGACATCGACAGCACGGCCCCGATCGAAGGAGAAGAAGGCCAAGAAGAAGAGGCTTTGCCTGCGCCCCCGGCTGAGGATGTGGCTCCAGCGGTCGTCAAGTCCGCTGAAGAGACCACTGTCGGTGAGTTGATGGTGGGAACCTGATGTGGGGTACTCACTCGTGGGGATTGGTGAAGAAAGGGTGGCGTCTGTTTTGTGCCCGGATTTAGGGGGACCGTGTTTGATGAGGACAGCCGTGTACAAAGCGATTTGGTTTGCTTTGATCTTCGCGGTCGGTTTGATCAGTTCAAGGATGTCCTCAACACGCCTCGAGCATTCGCAAGTTGTTGATACTGGCGTCAGCAAAAAAAGTCTCCAGGAAAAGATTACAAACCTCACTCGCCTCGAGATAGCGCACGGAACAAGCAACTAAGAGTGCCTGAGGGCACAGAGCTGTTGTCTCCCGATGGCTCTTCAAAACAACAAGCGTCCGAGCTCGCACCCCCGGCCGCCCCAGCCATCGCCATGCGTCGTGTCGCACATCACCCAACAACATCCATCAACTTGTATCATCAACGCTACATATCCCACGCGGCTGCTCCCGAAATCCGCGACCGGGACCGCGATCCCCCTCACCCTACAGAAGAACCCGCCGCCGTCGTCGAGGAAGAGGCACCCGCTGCTTCAGCCGACGACGCCGCTGAGGACTCAGCGTCTGAGCCCGTTGTCGTCGAAGACACCGCCACCGACCCGGCTTCTGCCCCCGCCGCGGCTGCCGAGAAGCCCGTCGAGGAGAAGGGCGACGCCGAGCCTGCCGCTTCGGCTGAAGCGGAAGCGGGGGCCGGCGCAGCGGAGGAGGAGGAGGAGGAGCCGGTTGTCGTCGCCACCGCCGCTGCTGCCGTCGAGGAAGAGAAACCGGGAATCACCGATGAAACCGGTAAGCGAGTGGCGTCGGCTGCCTCAGGCGGCGTGGTGGTTGTGTAAATGCCGCCTTCGTTGGAAGGAGAAGCGGGGAGATTTTCTCTTCTAGCAGTAACGACGGGTTATTTGTTGCCCTTGCGAGGAGTGTTTTCGGTGGGCTAATGACTCCCGATTGTGGTGTCGCTGTGGCTGTGGAAGGTCATGTGGTACCTAGGGGCGGTTTTGTGTCTTGTGCGGGTGTTTGCCTTGCCGAAGTAGTCTGACCTTACCTACGGGCCCCATTCTGCGGCTACGCGAAACGATCGTTTGGCGTGCCTCACACCAGAGGTGGCCCCAAGGCAGGCGTTTTGTCGCTTGCCACTTCTCTCGAGGTAGCCATCTACCTCATCGGTGACTGGCTTCTGATTTCGATCGACAAACGAGCGATGTCGAGAGAGCCCACATATCGGCCGTGGGGCACTGCAATCTAGCCCTGTCTCATGATATTTTCTTGGCCATTGATCCCTGTACAGTATGGAGAATGCTGATATTTTCTTGGCCGTTGATCCCTGTACAGTATGGAGAATACGCATTTCGTTTTCCCACTGTTTTTGCCTCTGTCACAAACGCGGATTAGCTCCGGCAGGAGACGAAGGAACCACCGACAAGAGCATCGTCGAAGAGGAGGCCCAGACCAAGGTCGTTGCGGAGGACGCAGGCGTCGACGCTGCTTCTGAACCCGCAGAGACACCATCGTCGGAAGAGGGAGGCATTCCGGAGCCCGCCGATGCCGTCACCGCGGATGAGGCGGTGGTCGAGGTTGCTGCTCCTGCCGCTGATGCTGCTGCCGGTATCGGTGAGTTGTGGCTTTGGCTGCACAATGAGTTGGCGTTGAAAGATGTTCGTTGTGTGCATGCGGCGTGTGTCGACACAGAGATGTGGATGTGAATGCTGTTTTTTTGTTTCACCCGCTCGTGTCACGAAGGCTTTGCATATGCTGGTGCGTATCCATGAAGGCACCGTGGACGATGCCCATGGGTGACGTCGAAATCACGGACAACCGCACCGCATGCCGTGTCCCACCTCGCACGAAGATGCATACCGCCTGGTGTGCACGTTCCAGCTCTTTTCGCTATTTCTCCCGGTGATCCCCTCGCCCGCCTCACCGGCGTGATGCGCGTGTACGTTCCCCCAGGGGAGGAGCCCGCGGCAGCGGAAGAAGAGTCCGCGGCCAAGGAAGACGACCCCGAGCCAGCGGTGCCCGCTGCTGCCGAGGACGCTGCCGTGACCGTCGAGGAGGCGGTGACCACCCCCGACGAGACGACCACGGAGGAGACTGCCGACGTCGACACCACGCCCGCGGTCGAAGAAGAAGAAGAAGAAGAAGAGGTATCGCCGGTGCCACCTGCTGAGGATGTTGCTTCGCCGGCCGTCGACTCCGCTGAATCGACGGATGCCGGTGAGTTTGATTGTGGGAAGAGATGGGGGCGGCGGGTGACCTGTGGCAGAGAGAGTTACGGGTTGTGTGGAATTCGTGTTCGGAGCGTGCTTTTTGTACCACGACAGCGTGAAGTGTACAGAGACGCTCTGCGACGCTCTCTGGGTTTGTGACGATAGCGGTTTGAGTTCAAGGGTGTCTCTCAACGCATTTCGGCTTGCTACACAAGGTTTCGTTGTGAATAACAGACGCCCCCACCGTCACCAGTACATCTCAAACCAAACGCTCGTCTCCCTTCTCAACAACCGCAACGCTCCTCTCCCCTCCAAACAAACGCACGCGCACGTATCGCACACACAGTGGAAGATCCCGTCGCAGCCGCCGAAGAACCCGTCGCCGCCGCGGAAGAACCCGTCGCAGCCGCGGAAGCATCCACCACAGCCCCCGAAGAACCCGTCGCAGCCACGGAAGAACCGGTCGCCGTCGTGAAAGAACCCGTCGCTGTCGCGAAAGAACCCGTGGCAGCCGCGGAAGAACCCGTCGTCGTCGTGAAAGATCCCGTCCCAGCCGCGGAAGAACCCGTCGCCGTCGCGGAACCTGTTGCCGTCGCGGAAGCATCCGCCGCAGCCCCCGAAGAACCCGTCGCAGCCACGGAAGAACCGGTCGCCGTCGCGGAAGAGACCGTCGCGGTCGCTGAAGAACCCGTCGCAGCCACGGAAGAACCCGTCGCAGCCGCGGAAGAGCCCGTCGTCGCCGTGAAAGATCCCGTCCCAGCTGCCGAAGAACCCGTCGCCGTCGCGGAAGAACCCGTCGCAACCGCGGAAGCATCCGCCGCAGCCCCCGAAGAACCCGTCGCAGCCACGGAAGAACCGGTCGCCGTCGTGAAAGAACCCGTCGCTGTCGCGAAAGACCCCGTGGCAGCCGCGGAAGAACCTGTCGCCGTCGCGGAAGAACCCGTCGCCGTCGCGAAAGAACCCGTAGCAGCCGCGGAAGAACCCGTCGCCGTCGCGGAAGAACCCGTCGCCGTCGCGGAACCTGTTGCCATCGCGGAAGCATCCGCCGCAGCCCCCGAAGAACCCGTCGCAGCCACGGAAGAACCGGTCGCCGTCGCGGAAGAGACCGTCGCAGCCGCTGAAGAACCCGTCGCAGCCACGGAAGAACCCGTCGCAGCCGCGGAAGAGCCCGTCGTCGCCGTGAAAGATCCCGTCCCAGCCGCCGAAGAACCCGTCGCCGTCGCGGAAGAACCCGTCGCAACCGCGGAAGCATCCGCCGCAGCCCCCGAAGAACCCGTCGCAGCCACGGAAGAACCGGTCGCCGTCGTGAAAGAACCCGTCGCTGTCGCGAAAGACCCCGTGGCAGCCGCGGAAGAACCTGTCGCCGTCGCGGAAGAACCCGTCGCCGTCGCGAAAGAACCCGTAGCAGCCACGGAAAAGCCCGTCGCCGTCGCGGAAGAACCCGTCGCCGTCGCGGAAGTGGCCGTCGCCGTCGCGGATGAGCCCGTCACCCTCGAAGCAGAGACCGTCGCGGCAGAGACCGTCGCAGCCGCCGAAGAACCCGTCACAGCCGCGGAAGAACCCGTCGCCGTCGCGGAAGAGACCGTCGCGGTCGCTGAAGAACCCGTCGCAGCCCCGGAAGAACCCGTCGCAGCCGCGGAAGAGCCCGTCGTCGTCGTGAAAGATCCCGTCCCAGCTGCGGAAGAACGCGTCGCCGTCGCGGAAGAACCCGCCGCAACCGCGGAAGAACCCGTCGCCGTCGCGGAACCTGTTGCCGTCGCGGAAGAAACCGCCGTACCCGCTGAAGAATCCGTCCCAGCCACAGAAGAACCCGCAGTCGCGGAAGAGCCCATCTCCGTCGCGGAAGAGCCCGTCGAAGTCGCGGAAGAAACCGTCGCCGTCGCGGAAGAACCCGTGCTCGTCGGCGACTCGGCCCCGGCGGAGGACGCCCCTGCTCCGGCCGGTGTGGAAGGTGAAGTGAGTGCCGCCGTTGCAGGGGACGACGAGCCGACCGTCGCCGCCCCTGCCATGAAGGAAGATGAAGACGACGGTGAGTAAGCGTTGGCTACCTTGGTGGAGGAATTGGACGGTGGTGCTGGGTTGGTAATCCGATTGTGAGATCGTCGTGGGTGTTGATCGAAAGTGCTACTTGTACGGAGGTTGCGGTGGGTCTTGTTTGGCCGTCGGACTTATGAGTGTTTCGGCATTCGCAGGAATATGTGTTTACGCACGTTTTCTGTTTAGGGTAGTGCTGTCCTTCTCGCCTCTCCTTCTGTGCCCCCCCGCGGCCATTCTGCGCTCATCAGACCTAGAACAACCGAGGGTACACGAGCTATCGCTTGCTGCGTTCCTAAATTTTACCGTAGCAGCCGTCATTGTCGACCTTCCTTCGTCAAATGCGATCGCAGAGACAGGATCAACGTCAATGGTTGACACTCAACTGTTCGCGGGCCAGCCGTAACCCTCGAGAGTTGCTTCGTAAAGGACGACTTCGCCCTTTGCTGCCTTTGCTCGGGTGTATGAGAGGTTGAACGTTGACTTTCGCTGTACCGCGGTGTGTTGCTCTCGCGCCTGTCGCCGATGCAGCCCCGGCGCAAGGTGAAACGGTCGCCAAGGAGAGCGTCGAAGAGAACGTTACGAACGAGCCTGCTGCAGAGGCCCCGGTCATCGATGCTGCTGCCACCGCCGCTGTTGCTGCAGAGGCTCCTTCCTCGGACGAGCGAGCCATGCCGAAGTCCGCCGATGTTATCGCTGACGAGCCGCTTGTGGGGGATGCCACCCCCGCTACTTCTGATGCCGTCGGTGGGTGGCGGGTTCTTCTTCGCCCTTCTTTTCTTTTTTTGGGGCGATATGAATGCGTTTCAATGTATTGTGTTCGTGCGCAATAGTGTGCGTGAATGTCGGATGCTGTGGAACCTTTTCCCTACCTTATGGACTCCGTGTGATGCTGCGTGTTTTGGAAGCTATTTCAACGTACGGCGACGAGGTATGAAAACACGTACTTTTGTGCCTCGATTTCCTTTTGTTAGTTCCAAGATCCAGCCTCGGATAGCACCACTGCATGACAAATTTGTGTAATGATCCCACGCCATCAGTCCCAATCAAGGTATCACGAGACCTACATCCACAGTTATTAGACATGGGCGAGGAAGAGATTTGCCCTTTGAACCGTCATCTGCTTCCGGTAAGCTTTACAACAGGGAGACCGACGCCGACAACCTACCGTGTAATGTCCAGGTACTGCACCCTCACGTTGGTGTTGTACGACCGCCGCAGTCTCGCCCTCCCCCGTCGCGCATGTTATTGTTGTCCCTCCCCTCTCGGTGGCTCGTCCGTCTCTTTCAGTACCATCCTCGTGCCCTCCACGACACAATAGGGAAGAGCCCCATGACATCGCGCCTTCTTGCAATCCCCCTCCCCCTCCGCCGTCCATAGTCTATCGACTACGGCATGCACGACTATGAGTACACCCCCCCCCCGCCCATGCTCGCTGTTCTACCAGTACCAGCAAAGGAGGGAGAGGAGGCGGAGGCCAAAGAAGACGTCCCTTCCGCCAAGGAAGACGCTCCTGCCACCGCCTCCGATGTGATAGAAACCCCCGCCGAGGCCGCGGGTCCAGCCGAAGCGGAACCCGAAGCTGAGCCAAAGTTGGAGGCGGTCGGGGGAGAGGAGGAGCCGGTAGTCGTCGTCGAGGGAGAAGATGCCGCAGACGTTGCTGGTGAGGATGCAGGTGGAGGACGGTAGTGCCGAACGGATGAGTTGCCTGTTCGCTTTTGTCGTTGTTGTTGCTGTTCCATGTTTGCACTGATGATTCGATGTTCTGCCGTTCTTGTCAACACGTTTTCTCGCTGACAATTCCCCCATTCCGAGCCGCCTTTGGCAAAGTAGGAAGGACCGATTGGCCGTGAGTGGTCGGTCAATGTTCCGTCGACGCGTTTTCGACGGTCCACCACCATCTAAAGCATTACAAAACATGAGTACCCCCCTCCCCCTGCCGCACCATCCACCTGTTCCAACCCCACGCAGACGAAGAACCCGTGGTTAAGGATGATGCACCAGAGCCCGCCGTATCCGCTGAGGTTGTGCCCGAGGTCGCAGCGTCTGATGTAGCGGCGACCGCCCCCGACACCGACACCACGGAGGAGGTAGCCGAGATCGACACGGCGACGGCAGATGCGGTTCCGGTGGTATCTCCGCCTGATGAGGTCGCTGCTTCCCCGGACGCGCCGGTTGGCTCTGCGGAAGACACCGCTGCAGTGGGTGAGTGATACAGAACAGTTTGTGGTGGCAACGTGTGCGCAATGTGGAGGCAGGGAATCAGTGGGAGAGACCGGGACAGAGAGAGACACACAAACACACAAGAGAGAGAGAGAGAGCGAGAGAGGGAAGGGACAATAGAAACGTCGTTCCTTCAACTCGGTTAGGTTGTGGGGTTGGGGTTGATGAAAACACTGGCATCCTACTTTACCCGCGGTGAGGGAGCAGACAAGCGTTGGGTTGCTGCAGCAGCTGCTCCTGTGCAGTGGCTGTTCCATAGCTATTCTGTTTTTTCTCCGCGACTGTCGCTGATTCATGGTGTATGTTGACGCCATATTTTCCTGTTGTCTAGGATGCGATGCAGCTCTGACCGAAGACGCCTCGGCCGACAAGAGCGTTGGCGAGGCCCCGGCGGAGCTTGCCGCCAAGAGCATGAACGAGGACGGGGCCGCCGCTGTTGTTGCTGCTGCTGCTACTGCTGCTGCTGCTGCTGTGTCTGCTGAGACGCCTTCCTCGAACGAGCGGGCTATTCCGGAATCCGCCCATGCTGCCGCTGTCGAGCCCGTTGTAGAGGGCGACGGTTCCGCTGCCGGTGAGTTGTGCAAGAGTTAGCCTACGGGGGTGCCGATAAGTATGGTGTTCTCGCGCCTCATTTCGTCGGTTCATGACCGTTCCGGTAACCGTAGACTCTAGCATTGCCGGCGAGTGTTGTACGGGGTACCGTTGTGGGTTTGTGGAATAGTGTCACGCTCTATTTTTTTCGGGGGGGGGGGGGGGGGGTCTGAGGATGCCATTTTAACGCTTGATTGGAACCTATATTTTCAGACTTCACCCCTGGTTCTGTTTGCTGTATGTACGCTCTCGAGGTCCACGAGGTCGACAACGTTCAATAGCACCCCCCCAACTCCGCTCTTTGGTCCTCCAGTGCCCTCGAAGGAAGAGACCGAGACCAAGGGCGATGCTCCTGCCGCCACCGCCACTACGGAGGAGGCATCCGCTGCTGCTTCGGTTACCGCCGCAGTGAAGGCCATCGAAGAGGACGAGGGGTTGGTCGTGGTCAATGCCGTCGAAGAAGATGGCGATTCTGCTGGTGAGGGCGTGGACGATGAGCACAGCAGTGTGGACGGGATGCAGTAGCCTTTGGCGGGGGGACATTAAGCTTGGTTTCGGTAGGTGGTAAGGCGTGGGGTTTTAAGGTTAAGGATAGATGTACGACGACGCCCCCTCCTCTGAGATAAAAATACAATCCTCCCGAAGGCGGCGGTCCCGACCGGGTGTCGGCCCCCTCCTACTCCCGAGAGCTTGCTGGAAGGGTGACCTGCCGTCATTGCATCAGGCGTCGCTCTGTGTTCGTTGCTGTCGGCACCAGAAAAGTGGTATATTGCCGATAAGCCCTGTTGTTGCTGCCTTCATTGCGCGGTCCGTGGTCGTCGCATGGTGTGGCCTCATGTTGAACCGATCCTCGCCCCCTGTGTCGGCTTGAAATCCCCGGGCGCGAACAGAAGGCGCCGACACGGGAGTTCCCCAGGACCCGGCAAAGCCGGTCGCAGAGGACGCGAACGTAGGCGCCGCAGCTTCCTCGCCCGCTGAAACGCCTTCTTCAGCGACCATGCCGGAGCCCCCCGCCGACGCTGCCGAACCCACCGTAGAGGACAACGCAACTGCTGCCGTTGCTGCCACCTCCGCTGTGGTGGGGGGGTCAGCTGCTGCCGATAAGCCCGCTTCGGCCGAGACTCTTACCACCGAACCGACAGGGGAACCTGCTACAGCGGAGGAACCCGTCGCAGAGAGCGCGGCCGATGCCGGTCCTCGTTCCAGTCCCGGCGACGGCCACGGCCACGGCAAGGGCGGCGGCGGCGGGTTCCTCAAGGGGGTGAAGAAGTGGTTCAAGAAGGACGGGAAGCGTCCGAGTTCCTTCAAGAAGGGCAACAAGGGGAACAAGCAGCAGCAATCGGAGCACTGGACGGAGAATCTCGCGTCCTCCCCGCCCTCCGCCACCGCCGCCGCCGCCGGTGCGGCGGAACAAGGGAAGCCCGAGAAGCAACACAAGGAGGAGCAGGAGGAGGAATTCCTTACCACCGCCGCTGCCGCTGACCCCGGAGCCGGGACCGACGGGACTGCTGGCGGTACTGGCGGTGCTGAAGCTTCTACCAGGGTTGACGTTGCCGGCGCTGTGGTTGTGGTGAGCGAATACGAAGAGGCAGTGGTTGTTGGGGGCTGCATGAACGAGTATATAGAATACTCAACGAAGAAAGTTGAGCGGCTTGCCTTTGGGGCAGAGACGCGGTTTCCAACAGCAAAAGACTCGTGACGAAAATGTAGTTGTAGACCGTTTGTTATTTTTTAGTATCGTGCGGGGCGAGAAAGAACTGGGGGGAAGGGGCGCCGTGTTTCAATTGGATTTATCTTCATATCGGTGTCGTTTGGAAAAAGAGAAGCAATTCTGTATGTAACTTACAGAAGGGATGATGTTCTAGGCTAACTAACACCTCCCGTGGCAAGACAGAGTTACATACCTGTCGGTAGAACAACACCAATCTTGGGTTCAACAGCGAGAGGGGATACATGCCGTCAGTCGGTGCTGAGCTCTTCGGGATGGGGGCATGAAATCGCGGGTTACCTATCTCACTTGCTCGGCCGATGAGCTCTTGTGTCACTGCTGTCAATTGTTGCTGCTGCAGACGTTGGCGGATTTTTTCCCAAAAGCAGAGAGATGAGACAGACAGGGGAAAGCAAATTAGAAGTAGGGTCGCACTCTTGGCCGCCGGGAAACACATCTTATACGACGCCCCTCTTTCCCGCCAACCACGTGTTCTGCCGCCGCCCACCCCCTCGCTCGCTCGCTCGCTCGCTCGACCGCCGTGCGGTGCACTCATCACGCGCGCCAGATTATGTAACCAGCCGCGCGACCTGCGGAAATCCGGTGCTGCACGCTGTTCGGTTGCCGCTGCTGCTGCTGCTGCTGCTGCTGCTTCACACTACCCCATCCACCCAACGACAGGTACGCGGCGGCGGCGGCCCCGACCCAATGGCGGCGGCAGCGGCAGCGGCGGCAGCAACGGCAGCAACGGCAACGGCGGCACCGCCACCGAGTTGGCCGCGTGTGGTTCAGGAAATTGTCGTCGCGTTTTGGGCCCAGATCGTCGCGCTAGCAAGGTTTTTGACGAAACGGCCGGTGGCAGGTGCGGAAGAGCAATAAGACAAAGGCGCCGCCGAGAGCGGGGGGGTTAATAATCCGCGGCGAGTTTTCGGTGCTTGCTTGGCGACACTGCACCGGACCGAAGGGTGGGGCCCAAATTTTCTTTTTTCTTGTTTTTGCCATGCTTTCGCTGTGTGGTGTCAATCGTATCTGAATTCTGTATCTACCTCGGCTTGCCATGTTTGTCGGCGTAAAAGAGCCTTGTCCATCGGTGGCGGCCTTTGGAGATTTGCTAAACGGGACCGGTTCTTGCTCTTTTATATTCTGGGGAGAATGTTTTTGCGATTCCGAGGCCACTCGGTACTTTGACTGAAGTGTCACACCCGGGAGTTAATTTCTGGATAAAATGTTTTTGCGATTCCGAGGCCACTCGGTACTTTGACTTAAGTGTCACACCCGGGAGTTATTTTCTGGGGAAAATGTTTTTTGCGATTCCGAGGCCACTCGGTACTTTGACTGAAGTGTCACACCCGGGAGTTAATTTCAGGATAAAATGTTTTTGCGATTCCGAGGCCACTCGGTACTTTGACTTAAGTGTCACACCCGGGAGTTATTTTCTGGGGAAAATGTTTTTTGCGATTCCGAGGCCACTCGGTACTTTGACTGAAGTGTCACACCCGGGAGTTAATTTCTGGATAAAATGTTTTTGCGATTCCGAGGCCACTCGGTACTTTGACTCAACTGTCACACCCGGGAGTTATTTTCTGGGTAAAATGTTTTTTGCGATTCCGAGGCCACTCGGTACTTTGACTTAAAGTGTCACACCCCGGAGTTATTTTCTGGGGAAAATGTTTTTTGCGATTCCGAGGCCACTCGGTACTTTGACTTAAGTGTCACACCCGGGAGTGGCCTCTCGGGGCGCAGTGGCGATGCACGTTTTCGCCAGAAGCTGCTTCTTGAGCTTAGATACATTTGGTTTTGCGTACGCTTGGAGCACTTCTGCGCGGTGTGGTCGTCCGCCCCACTTTTTTGTGTTGTGATATGTTTGCCCCTGTTCTTGATGTACACCCTTTTCTTCGCGTTCGCAGTTGTGGTGGTATTGCTGTGAACTCCACACCTTCCTCGTACGTGCATAACCCCCCATACGGAACTTGCTTGCTGTTTATTGTGGGCCCTGAATGTAAACCCTTCATGTTTGCCTTGGTACCATAATCGTTTGTATGGGGTTTCGTCTCTTAAGTGCTTTGCGTGTTTTTCTGTTGGGTGGCGGTGAGCTATGTCGGGAGACACGTCCCGCCGCATGTTGTGGGTATTCTTGGGCCCGAAGTTTAGGACCCAGCGGGGTCACGTTTTTTGCGGGCCACGCTTTTGTAAGAAACGCCCAGTTGGAACAATTGGCCAACGGACCCAGTCGCCATAAAAAATCGCTTGGAAAAGCGTCGCCGACTGAAAATCTTCATGCCACGAGTTTTGTGTGGCGAGTGATAAGTCGCTCCGAGTTTGCGTCATGGATTCGAAACGGTTTCAGCCAGCCGGTGACGTCGACAGCGCTTGGCTTCAGGGAGTGACATGAACGGAACATGTACAGATTTCTAGGCATTTGCCAAATGTACTCTATGCCGTGGAGACACGTGTGATAACGGGGGAAGGAGTTCCAAGTTACCACTTTTTTTGCTTTTTTTTCTCGTGGCATTCCGAGTTTCAAGTTGTGATAACAGGGGAAGATGTTCGAGTTATCTCTCTTCGTGCTTTATTTTGCTCGTGGCATGCATATTTCGAGGTCAAAGTGTGACAAGGGGGGAAAAAGAGGTCCGAGTTATCGCGCTTGTGTTTTTTTCTCGTACGTTGTTGCGAGGTTTTTATAGGCTGTTGAGCAGGTGTTACATCCGCAGTTCCGTCCTATCGATATGTCGTAGCGTGGAAGCCGCTACGATGGGGGCGGTAGAGATGGGTGCGCATGAATGAGCTACCTAGATGGGAGGAAAGAAGATTGTGCGGAGTTTCTGACAGCCGGCCACTAGATGTGTGCGTTTGTTCGGGTGTGGGGTAAGTGCGTTGTTTTGGCTCTTTTCACCGGTACCACATCCCGACTGACATAAGTGGTGAATAAGTGTGCTTGCTCATGAAGAAGCGCTTGAGTTGAAAGCCATGCATAGCGCAATGATATAGCGCCATGAGCCCGTCGTCTGCGACAGAGGTCTTTGATAAGGGTGAAGTGCAAGAGAGTCTCCAGGATTCTTCATCTTGGTGCGCCAGGGCAGAAGGTACCCGACGTCATTTTCATGGGATTTCCCTACATGGAGCACGCTCTTTTTTACCGATGCAACAACCACCGCTGAAAAAAGAAGAGGTGGGGTTGGCGCGACCGAGTTAGCTCAACGTCTTCTCATGTGGTCCTTGACTATATTGACCTGATGGACATGGGCACGCAATTAAATGAGAGTGTTTTGGTTTTCCTGGGTTAACAGGAGGGATCGTGTGCAAGGTGATGATGGAAGCTCCTGTCGACGTTTACACGATGTTTGCGTATTGTCTGCGTGCCCCCTTGTTCCATATGCGTCATGGGAGACTATTTCCGTAAGTTTCTCTCTCTCTCTCTCGCTTTTACCCGCCGGCTATCTGACCGACCCTTTGTCGCATTCGCATTCATGGCCTCGAGTATTCGGCGTGGTGAAGGTTCCAATGTGGACGTTGGTGTTCCAACTCTCGCCAAGTTGGATTTCTAGATCGTTTCTGCGCAGCTCACGGTGGGTGGATGGCGTAGTTTCGCTGTAGTTGCTCCGTCCTCGCTGCAGGGGGGCGGGATCGATACGAGTAAGAGCTCAGACCAGGCTTGGAAAGGCCCGTCGAATGCGTTTGGTGTTGTTTTTTTTCTTTCGTGCTGCTTGTAAGACCCGGCTTTGGCAGACCAACGGTTGACTGCATTCTCCGTTTTGCTTCGATTGTTCTTGTTCTGCGGCTGCTGCTCTCAGCTGCAACTACCTGCCGATACATCCTTGTTCTTTTTTAGGCGCATGGTGACACGCTTTGTAGATCCACCTCCACCCCGCGTGCTTGGTGGAAGTAACGAAGTAACCAGTTGCGATCGCCCGTGTGGGACGGATGCTTGTCCAGTTATGTGTGCCGGACGTTCATGCTGCCGATGGGTGTTGTCGTGGTAGGACAAGGCCGGTGGGTGTAGGACGAGGCGGGTAGGAGAGCCAGTCAACGGCGTCCCGGTTGCGCAAGCAAATACACGACACCATTTATATATAGTCTCGAGTCGAGCGGGCGGAGAGGTGGTCGGCGATTTTCATTGGCATTATCACCTCTGCTACGCTGCGCTCGGTCCTCTTCGAGTGGGTCTGACGTTCCCACACGAGAAAACTGCCCTGTGCTGGCCGGCATGATACTGACTGATGGTATCAAAATATGTGAAAATAGTTGGGTACCGAAAAAGCGAGAAGTGTACCCCCGCCCATCGCCACCACCGTGGAACTGCCGAATGCAAAAGCTTTTCCGTTGGCGCAATTCTGATGCGGTGCATGTCACACAAAAACAGGAATCGACCTGTCCCTGAGGTTCTCGTCCTTCTCTCGAACGAGAAGTGTTGGGGAGATTCTCCGGTTATGACACAATGAAAGCCGCCGCTGTGTATCTTATGATGTTCCGGAGACAGTGCTTTCCGTCTCTCCCCGTTGTTCCTTCCATTTTGCAGCTGAATTTCCGTGTAACGTGCTGAATATGAGTGTTTACTGATCAATATTAAGAAAACTCTTCAAAGAACTGCACACGACCTGCACTGGGACTACCAGGCTGTCACCCAACCAACACCGAAGCTCGATCTCCCCTCACGGCTCAACCCCGTCTTGGCAAAGAATCCTACTTTGCACAATCCTTCGGCGCTGAGTTGGGTCGTCGACGTTCACCCGCCTGCCGAGGTCCGTGAAGCCATACGGGAGGTCTGGAAACGGTTGCAGAAGAAACGCGTGCGCCTCGTTCCTAAGCTGTTGCTGCTGTCGTCGTTGCTGCTGCTGCTGCCGCCTGTCGCGCTGCTGCTGAAGCTCCCACTGCCGTGCGCGCTCGGCTAGGGCACCGGCCGCGGGCACTATCCTCTCCTTCCCGCCGATGCCATCCTCGTGATCGGAGAGGAGCATGCTCGCGAGCACCTCGGGCGGTAGCTTGTTGCAGGGGGGGTGCTCTGAGCTCAACGCGACGGGAGCAGCAGGACAAGAAGAAGCAGCTGGTGATGGTGGTACTGAGAACAACGCCGGTGTCGACGTCGTCGCCCGCGCTGTTGTTTGGTCTCCCGTTGCCACCCTCGACGCGTCGGCGTTGTTGTGTTCATCAACCCCACCCGAAAGAGAAGTCGTGCTTGGCGTGGCCATGGGTCTCGCCCCGCTGGGCAGACGCGGGGGGGCTTGTCGTTGCCAGTGTCCCTCCGCCTGAAGCGAACCCATCCCGTCCGTGGACGGCACTTCATCCCTGACGCCGCCGGGCACAACGCCCGCTTTCGAGGCATCCTTGGCCTCTGCCCTTCCGCCACCGTTTCGTCGCCCATGCTCGTGGTAGCTGTTGTTGATGTCGTGGTTCCCCGACAGGCTCGCCCTCCATATCCTCTCAGACGCGGCAGCAAGGCGGCGGTCGATCCTTGGAACGTCGCCGATCACACCCGTGGCGTTGTTTTCCGGTTTTGTCGTCTTGAACAGCTTGCTGAAACCAGTAGCAGCGGCGTCAGCGTCCACGCCTAAGCCCCCTATTTCCATACCGGACACCAGGGTAAGCGTGTCTCTTCTCTCGGCGGAAGGGGGTGCCGTAGCAACGGCGCCGCCGTCCAAGATAGCGGTTGGACGATAGAAATCGCCCGCGGCGGTGGCGGCGGTAGTGGCAACCGCCCGGTGCTCGTCATCGTCTTCGTTACTTACACCGCGATTTGTGCCGGCGTCGGCATCGGTTAATCGTGCGTCCCCGTTCCTGCTGCAAACCTCGCTCTCTTCGCCCCTTCCGTCTGAAGACGAACCGCCGGCGCTGCTCGCGTCGCAGCTGACCGCGGCGGCGTCGTCAGGACTATCTGGGAGGGAAGACCCAAGCGAAGCGCTATCTGCACCACCACCGTCGCCCTCGTCTGGCGAGCACGAAAAGCCCGAGTCTTCCCTTCGGCTGGCCTTGAAAGACGCGACGGTGGCGGCGGTGAGAGCGGCCAGCCGCCGACGCTTCAGCTCCGCCTTTAGAGCCTTGGGCCCCTGGTTGTTCCGGTGATAGGGCAATGTAAAGGGTCTGGAGAAAAGCAGATCGGGTTCGGGGGGTGGCTTGAGGGTAACGTCTAGGTTTTTCGGCCAAGACCAAAGGCTAGGTTTGTCAAGGTTGGAGCCAAAGGTCAAGGTCGGGGTCATGGAGCGTGGCTAGAAACGACCTCATTTATCTGCAAGGTCCAAATCGGCGTTACATTGTGGGTAGAAACATTGTCGAGGTTCAACGGAAGGTATATTATGCATGAATACCTGGCTGGAGGAAGGGATAAGGCTGACCGAAGGAACAAGGATAAGGTCAGGATCAGTAGGTCAATATCGACACAAGGTGAATGGTTAGGCATGATACGTCGAGCAACAATATTCGTAAGCAGTGAACCATCGTTCGGAGCAAGGTTTGTTTCCGAATACGACCGAAAACGCGAAGAAGGGAACAGCAAAGAAAGCTGAGGCTACAGCAGTAGGTCCGAAGAAGCTTGGGAGAAAGCTACATAAAAAAAAAAATGCTTCGGGATTGCTAGCGCTAGCAGCGGAGTCAAAAATCTATCGCATAGCCTGCAAGGACAGCTCCAGGAAGTAACTCTCGGCGTCTCCCCATGTGGGCTAATTTTCGACGTGGGTTCGTTCCCGCGTTTGAAAGTTTCTTGCCCCCGCCGTTCAATAGCCGTCACGTACAACCAGACGGACACGACTCCCGTACCCCCCCCCCCCCCCCCCCCGGGATCCTTCGTATTCTCGGGTACCAAACGCTCGACGGGTAGGGTGAAACCGACGCGGGACGAGTGGTGCGTGTTCGGAACACCGACGACGACGAAGAGGTATTTGTAGTCTGTTTTGGGCATGACTTTTCTGGTTGGTGAGGAAACCCTTTCGTCGTATTATCGTGACCAGTGATGCTTCTATGCGGGGTGACGGGTCGTGGTGTGGCTACGGTTTACCTCAACCGCTGTGGAAGGCTACTTCCTATGTTAATAATTGGTCGTATTCTTGAGCCTCTGACATGCTGCAAGCGTTGAACGAGAAGACCACAGCTGTTGAGAGAGAATCGAATGAATGCTAAGTAAATGAACGGAGAAGTACATACCTTCTTGGCCAGGGTGTGCGCCCACCTTCGCGCGTGGAGGTACTCCTCGTGTGTACGGGCAGACCTGGCAAAGCAACGCCAAGAACGAAGGGAACGGACGGGTGTCCTAAGGAGCGAAGGTTGTGCCCGTTCGTTCGACCTACGTGCGTACGTCCCGTTGGAGTTTTTGCCATTTTCGTCGCCCCTTCAAAAACTGTTCTGGGCGCCAGTCTACATCTGTTCGGTGCAAACCGTTCTGGGTGCCTTCTATATGTTTTCGGTGTATGTTCGACGCACCAGCGGGGGTCCCACAGACAGGATGGTCCACTTTTCCTCCTGCGGTGCATATCCTCAACGTGCACGCGAGAAGCGGTCGTTCGGGTTTCCCTTTCCCTCTTTAGTTGCGTGAACTCCATCAAGACTGTGCGCTTTTCAATTTATTTGTGCGAGTTTGTTCGCTCCGGAGAGATTCGAACCCACAACGGAGAGCCAGGAGGTTTGATAGGTTCAGCTTATCCACCCGGCCTCTATCGTGTGACCGAGCTCTGTGTGACCGAGCTCTGGGCGGGCGAAACAGTGAAAAGAAGAAACACAAGGCGCGCTTTCTCTGGGCCAATTCGCGCTTTCTCTGGGCCAATTCTCGAGAGGTCCGGCATGTTTCGACCAACCCACCCGTACTCGTGCAAAGCTGCAGCGAGGCCATCTTCTCCTAGTCAATCCGTACAACCATCAAAACTCCAACCCAGTAGAATATTGTCCCCGTGGCTGTGGTCACTATTTAGTTGAGTTTCTCCCGTCCTGTCAACACGACGTCTTTCACGAAATTCGTTCGTCCGCACGGTAGGGAGGAGAACGGGGCACCTTCAATGAGCAACACCCACGCAGTGGCCCGTCTTCGTATACACACCGTAGGAACAGAACGTGGCACTCACTCAGCCCGGGCCTGCCGGAGCTCGGCCGCCGCCTTGGTCAGCTCGCCCGCTTCTGCCTGAAACTCCTCCAGCCTATTCCCTTGAACGAAAAAAGGTACCACGAACACAGCGACGAGAAAAACTTTTTGAGAAAAATTGCACAGGAGTGCAGTAGACGACAGGCAGAAACCATCATCAAACGATATTGTTGCGAACCAGCGTTCAACGAAAAAAACGATCGTACTGGTGATGGTCATCATGTCCATCCATCGAACGGTTGGTGCATAAAAGTCAGCAAGCAGCGTGACGAAGTGGTACGAACAACTGCAGCATCATGCAGGAGCAACGACTTTCTAACCCTCTATTAGGTGGAGGATGTTGACCCCTCAGTTCCTCGACGATGGATTGGCTGCTACAGTACAACGGAGAGACTTCATAATTTTGAGAGGTTTTGGCGAGACGCCTCTGCCTCCAAGATAGTCTCGAGACTATAATGGAAGGGCGTCAAACCGAAGCACGGATGCAGCATCCGTTCGTAATACTCACGGCTACATCGTTCCCCGCACAAGCTCAAGATTTTTCCCTCGCGTGCAAATTGCCACACAGTCTCCGGGCAGAACGAAAACAACACCAACGCTTTCTCAACGGAAATAAGCAGCAGCAGCCTCCCACCTAAATCCTTCATTTCCTCCTGCTCTTTCACGATAACCTCCTTTTGACTTCGAACGGATTGCCGCAGCTTTTCCCCGCGCTTCGCCTGTGTTAAAAATGTTCACGTGTTCTCACGCTTGGGGGATTAATCTTGTAGAAAATGCGCATTCCCCAAAAAGTCCAACCCGCTGCTAAGATGGAAGCAAGGTCCTGGAGAGGGAGGTCCATGAAGCCAAATTTAGCGTTCAGGTCACGTTTCTGGGCTCTTGCCATAGAGCTGACCTACCATTCTATGCAAAACTAGCAAGGAGGTGTTCGGACATGAACTGTACGTCGACACCCGAGGGGATTCTGCTTGGTGAGGCAACATATTGTATGTGCTACGGAGCGCTCCACGCCGGTGCTGAACGTATGAGCGATCTTGATTTTAGACACGTAATTCGGCTACCTCCCGCCCCGACGCCTCAGAGTACGTTCAGGAGATTCACATCGAAACTTGACAGCGAACAAACAGGGTAGGTTAAGCAACCATCTCACAATCGAACGCATGGTAACCAGGAGGGTAATCAAAATGTTTACAGCCCGCGAAACGGCTTACGCCATACCAAAGTCCCCCGAACCCTGACGCCCCTTCTGTCGTTTCCTCCTGTTCATACTCGTTCGGAGTCTCGGTGCGTCTGCCCCACATACTTCGTGGGAGCAACAGTATCAACAACGACGAGTTCTCCGGCGGATAAAGCCCTTCGCAGAAAGTCAGACTCCCTTACAGCCCAGCGGGCTCGTTTTCAGGGACGGCGGGTGGAGGTAATTGCCGTGGAGAGAGCAAGGGTGATTGACTGCGACGATTCCATAGGAACAAGGGAATCGTCAGAGCCAATCACCCTTGCTTTCTTTTCCAATGGAATCGTCGCAGCCAATCACATAGCTCTCTCCACGGCCATCACCCCCAATCGCCGCCCCTGAAAACAAGCCCGTTGGGCTGTACGGTAGTCGACGCCACAGGACTGGCCTTGCGCCACGGGCTTAATCCATCCCGAGGCCTGTCTGCTACCCGTCGTTGTTGTTGCTATTGCTGTCGCTGTTGCTGTTGCTGCATACTGAGAGAATGTACTTCGTGGCGACATTGGCGATAGTGCCAACGACAGAGGCAGGACGGAGAGTGTCCACTAGCGGTCGATGTATGTACAAGCTTTTCGTACGACAGGCGCTCGACTCTTGTAGCGTTGGTAGTCTTTCATGTGCTCTTCTTACTGGTTAACAGTCAATGCAGTGCATCCCGGCGAAGTGAACGGACACACGGTTGTTGTGGAGGGTGATAAATAGGGCAGCGTTCCCTTGCCCCGTCTGAACCTCTCTGACAGACACCCAAGAAGCCCTCGAGTGGAACCGACGACAAAGAACAAGAAGCATGCACGAGGGGCTTACTAATAGCACCGTTTGTCGCGAGTCACTATGACTACACCGTACAATAGTATGCACCTGCAGCTTGACGAAGGTGTCGGCTAAATCCCGCTCGACCTTGGCACACCCCGCACCCTGGAAGCTCCGACAGTGCTCGGCCATGACGCGGTTCACGTTTCTCGTCTTCACGCGAAGGTCCGTTCGCAGGGTCGGCAGCTCCCCCCTCGCTCTTCCGGTGCAGTTGACGAGCGATGAACGATCGGACGAACCAATGGGGAACGGGGGGGGCGTTTGGGTACCTGATACCGTCAGCTTGGTCTTGCGCCGCACCCCTTTCTCCATGGGGCAACCGCCGCCTTTCCTAACCCTCCCCATCTCAAAACCAAGGTAGATGTACCCATATCACCGAAGCAATGGACACAATGGTATCGCGAGCACAACCGAATACTTCGCCACCCGCGGGCCTCACGGCTACTCTTTCGAAAATATGCGTCGATATCGGGAGGATGAGCGCTTGCGTTGATTTGCTGTTTGCGTCACTCAGTCGTTTGACTGTTTGACCGCGCGTCTCTTTCGAGACGGAACACTATTCATTCTCCTGATCGATGTGCTCTCCAATAATCGTGATGTTCGTGGTTTCCCTGTTGCACATAGAAAACCCCTGCTTGTCGTACCTACCTTGCTCCCGTATGGCATCATCTTGTGCCATTATCTTAACAGGCTTTTCATGAGTCTAATAATCGGCTTGAGTGACACGTTCTACGGAGTTTGTTGTCAAGAGGAGGGCAACGACGACGAGAAGGTCACAATAAATCGGATGCAAAAAGGACGAAAAGTCTCACACGATAGCTTCTTCCACCATAGCATCGAACGCCTGTTCCTGATAAGACATGTTCAGGTCGTGGAGGGTTGTCCGGAAAACGTTCTCGAGATCGTTCCTGACGTTAAACAGGTTGCGCTTGAGGCCATCCATCTCTCGGGCGTTGGCCACTTCCTGTGGTGTCGTTATTGTCGGGGGGGGGGGGGGGGGGGGGGGG